TCTTGTTTTTTTTTTTTTTTTTTTTTTTTGAGACAAGATCTTACTAAGTCACTAAATTGCCTACGCTGGGCTTGAATTTGTAATCTTTCTGCCTCAGCCTCCTAGAGTACTCGGATTATAAGAGTACACCACCATATGACTGGCTAAAAGACCATCTTTTCCTCCCTGCCTGTGGCTAAAAGGCAGGGCAGAAAGGCATGATTATTTCTTCTCCACAAACAGACCAAGGTCCACCAGAGGAAGTGTGTCCCTTTTCCCAAGGCCCAGTAGAATACCTCACAGGACAAAGCCCTCTGAATTAAGACATGGGTGGGCACAGGCTCAGCCCTGCTATTAACTTGTCACAGATGGTTGGATAAATCTCTACCCATGGGAACCTGGTTACTTGGGTTTCTCTCCACAGATGAGTTGCTTGCATGCTGGCTACCCTGATCGGAGATGCCAGAAGTGAGAGCTGAAGCCCCAAGAGGGGTCCCTGCCTCCTGGAATCTTAAAAGGTATTCTGGGAGCCCTAGTGGCACAGCATGTCTGTGAGGGGAGACTCAGGCACCCATAGATCTGCAATGGATGGAGACCCTGAGGTGGGCAAGGAAATGAGGAGTGCTCAAGACCAGTCCCCATGAGGTCTTGAGGGCCCTCGGTGAGGAACAGAGGAGGGGGCGTGTGGCTCTGGTCCCAAGCAAGAAGGTGCAATGCACACCCCTCACCCTAGCCATCCCGCCTGCTACCCAGGCCCTCTGGCAAGCCCCAGCCCACACATTGCCCTTACCCTCGTAGCAGTCGCGGACAGTGCCAAAGTACACATAGTACTGGTCGTTGGTGAAGAAAAGGAGGCTGAGCCAGGAGTCAAAGGCATAGATGGGCACGATGAAGAGGATGCGCACGATGTAGCGCTGCTCGTTGGGGCAGCTGTAGCAGCGCAGGTGCATATAGATCTGGGGCAGAGGGGTGGGTTACATATCATGCTTCTTGTTTTCTGCCCAACCCAAGGCCCTCTTCCTCCTGCCCCATGGCCTGACTTCTAGCTCCACCCTTTACTCCTACGGCTAGATGTAAGTGACCACCCCAACCCAAGTCCTCTGTACAATGTGGATGATAAAACGTCCATGGTGGGAATCAAACAAAGAGGCTGCGTAAGGCTTGAGTACCATGGAGAGGCTACAGGCTGACCTTGCAGGTGGAAGGGCCTGTGAGACTACACTGAAGCCTACAGCGCCATTGAGGACAAAGCAGAGAATTCACAGTGTGCAGCTCCCAGGCCCTCAAGGAGGTGTGTTTCCTTCCTATCTGTCCTCCCTAAAAGCCTGGGCTAAGGCCATCTGGCCACGGCTCAGCCTGGCCAGGGCCTGCACTGCTGGTGGACTGGACAGGGCACACAGGAGCCTCACTTGTGTGGGATATGGCTGAAGAGGCACTTTATATCCCATCATCACCCCCGAGGCTGCACTGGCGGCTCCCCAGGAAGAGGGAAGTAAAATGCAATGGGAAAAAGCAGGGGAAGTGAAAGCTCCCGGCAGCTGCCAGGACCTGCTCCACCTCCAGCCGCAGGCCCAGCAGATCCTGTGTGTCTGTCCTGGCTCTCCCTGGCTAGGAAAGAAAGAACAAACATCCCCCACATGCTGAGCCAATGCCTTAGACATAAATGGGCCTAAGAGGGACAGAGACAGGGCCCTGACAGACACACCCTGCCCTCCACGTGGGGCAGCTGTCAGACCTCTTGTCAGGCCACACAGCCTCCTCTGGTGCCTCCAGTGCAGGAGATGGGAGACTTGACTTCCTTCCCAGATCTGCCACTTACTGACATGTGTGCAGGTCTGCTCCTTCCCCCATCCCCCTCCGGCTCTCAAGTTCCTCCTCTACAAAGGGGTCCTAGACAGTAAGCCCAGTTCTGCGGCACATGAGCACAAGTGACAAGCATCATTTCCAGGTCGAGGTGGTCAAGAATCCAGGGTGTCTTCCTCACACTCCCATCCCCTCTGCTATCAGATGAAGGAAGCCTTGAAGCTGTGGGATGTTGGAGTCACAGGCCCAAGCCTGACCTGCTCTCAGCTGAGCTGGTGGGTAAGCCAAAAATCAAGTCTATTGGCTGAGGCCTCTTAGAACCTGGGTTTACAAGGCTACCCCACCTGGGCTGGCCTAGCCTAAGTCGAGTGCTGTGGGACTGGAACCCTGGCAGGATGCTCCTTTAGGGTCCCTGTGGAGCCTGGGTACCTGGTGGCAGGTGATGAGCAGGGCTGTCCACACAAAAAAGCCAGAGACGGCCTGGGCTGCAGTGGTCATCAGGAACACAGGCTGCTCCATGGCCATGGGGCTACCCTCGGGGGTCACAGAGACACTGGGCGAAGCTGCTGCGGTGGTGGGTGATGCTGGATCTGGGGCCAGCGCAGCCCCCCTCACAGTCATGGTGGCCAGCAGCAGGAGGCTTCCTGAGAGGATCCCTAGGAGCAAGTGACTGGCAAGCCTAGAGAAAAGAAATCCCAGGTGAGCACGCACAGGAAAGAATCTTGGACGTTTCTACGTCCACCTTCCAGCCACCGACCAATGCAGCCATCTCTCTCTGCCACTGAAGCCTCCCAAGACCTCAGCGGACCACACTTGGCCTCCTCTGCCAAATGCTCGACAGCTTCCACTGGAATTAGCTGACTCACCATGCCAGTCCCCGACAGTCCCACGGGCCCTGTCCCCCTTTCTGATCTTACCTCCAGCTGGCTCCTTGAACTCACACTTCCTCTAGGTCTCCATCTTAACTCCCGCTCAAACGTGACGCGTCCCACACACGTGCGCACAGCACTCCTGACCCTCTGCTTTCTCCTCCAGGGTCCACTTCACCCACCTATTCCTTCCTATATTCCCCAGGACAACACAAACTCTCCAGGCAGAAGCCTGTCCTGCTGACTACTGACACTGCACTTGCCACAGCGGAGCATACACTGAATTATAACTGCCAGCGGAATACACCCATCCCTGTGTGGTGATCCAGCCGTCACAACACAAACGTCCCTGAGTTGGGGAGAAGTAAGGATCGAGAAAGGACAGCACACTCAATAGTGTGGAGAAAAGAGGTCTGATTTATTTCACAGAAACTGCTCCTTTTAAAGGCACACCAACAGGAAGCACCAAGCAACTATTCGTATGCAAAGACCGGATTTTCTGACTCTTACAGAGAAAATCAGATTTTTGGCTATCTCTGAGTTCCTCCCATCACAGGGTCAAAGAACAAACAAATTTAACAAGGTCCTTGAGTGCACACCTGTAATCCCATAAAACCAGCCTGGATTACACAGTGAGCTCCAGGTCAATCTCATCTGCATAGCTGAGACCCTGTCTCAGAAAAGCCAAATAAACAGACAGACAGAGTCATAGATTGTATCAATACCTCAATGGTAGAAGAAGTTATTTTTCCAATGTCAGACGCCAGCAGGCCATGGCTGGCTCCCACACCCTGTATGTCCAATGCAGCGCAATCACTTTATCGCTCCACCAAAGGGCTGGCCCTGGTCTCTGCCATTTCTCTGCAGTCTCCCGAGTGGCTGACACCCATTCCTCCTCACCCAGGTGTGTTGGAGGCTTTCTGGCTCCTTTCCAATTTGTGCACCTTAAAACTGCTTTTTTCTGGTGGTGGTGATGGTGCTAGGCAGGCAAGCAATGCATCACCGAGCTACGCCCTGGCCCCGAGCTGCTCACCTTTTGCTGGTTCAGGAATCCCCCTTCTTGAACCTGCCCCCTCCACTCCCTCCAGCAAACACCCTCATCCATGCCACATGGCACATGGTTCACCTTCCCTTGTGCTTATCCTCCCACCTGCTCTAAAACAAGATTCAGTCTGTCTGAATCCCCAGCATCCAGACCATTCATGACGTTCAACCTTATTATCTATTTTCACTCCTTATTGTGAAAGAAATTTGAGGAGCTTACAGAGAATTACCAGTAACATAAAGAGCTGAGGAAATTGGCATCAGGAAAAATTCCAGTGGGAAAGAAGCTGAGTGCATGTGGGACACAGGAAGCATCTCTGAGGAAGAAATTCCTCTCTAGAAAGGGAACTGGGGTTCCAGGTAGTTTCCTAGTGGTGACTTTAGTATTCCCAGGAACACATGAATAACTTCACACTAAAAAGTAATTCTAGCACTCTTGGAGGCTGAGGCAGGAGGACTGTAAGTTCAAGCCTAGCCTGGGGAACTTAATGACTTAGCCAGACCCTATCTCAAAATAAACCAAAGGTGGGGGTGCTCAGTGTGAAGGCTCTGGGTTCAAGCCCCAGTATAACAAAATAAAATAAAATAAATGGGTAAATAAATGAATGAATGAATGAAAGAAAGAAAAGAAGCAAAGTAAACCCAGATATGGCCTACAGAAGAGCTCTCAGCTTTTGCTCAGGGGCCATGGCTGAGCCAGAGGTTAAAACTACTTTCCAAGAGCAAATCAGGACCACCTGGAATGTGCCGCTGGGGTGCGATGCCCACACTGAAACCTAACTGCCAAGGTGATGACACAGGAGGAAGGGCCTTTGGGAGGTGATTAGGTCCTGAGGGTGAAGCCCTCGGACAGGACCAGTGCCCTCATGAAAGGTCCAGAGAGACCCCTCGTCCTTCCACCCACAAGGACACAGTGAGAAGGAACTGGAAGTAGGTCCTCACCAGAATGGAATCTGCCAATGCCTTGACTGGACTTCCCTCCAGGACTGTGTGGCATTTTGGTTTAGCAGCTGGAAAAGAGGAAGCCAGGAGCTTTTCCCTCTACTTCAGGGCATCAGAACCTACATCCCGCGGCCGTTCTGATGCTGTCACCTGTGGACAGGCAGCCGACACGACCCAGAAAAGAATCTGTAAGACAACTCTGCTTAAACTCAGACTCTGGTAATGATCTGCAAAGCAGCCAAGCAATAGTTGACAGCTCAGGAAATGGAAAACAGGGAGCAGGGTGTGGCCACTGCTGTCAGAGGCTGGCTGGAGCTTGGGTTACAACTCCTTGACATCTCTGTCCCTGGCACAGATTCATGGGGACCTCAGGGACTCTGGTGCCTGACCATACTTGCTAAGCCTGGATGTGACCACCTTGGCTCGAACCCTGAGTTCATAGGACTGACCTCTCATGGTCTCTCCCCTGGCCTTCCCATGCACAGCAGCCAGGGCCTGACCCTGTGGTCCACAGCACCCTGGCCTGCTGCCCACCCACAGTTCCTGCCTCTGCGCCAGCCCCCTCAAGTGTCCCCAGCTTCCTCTGTCCCATCTCTCTCTACTCTAAACTGCCACCTAAGGGAAGCCCTTTACATTTCTATTTTCCTATGCATAAGTGAGCTCTACCACACCAAACAAGAGATGGAGCTAGATTAAAAACTCAAAAATGGAGAAGACATCTATTTTAAGAAACTCAAAAATGGAGAAAGTGTCTATATAAAGACTAGTGGCAAGCTCTGAAAAAAAAGACACAGTGATAGGTCTAAGAATAGCTCTTATAAGCATGGCTGCAAAGTAGAGAACCACAGCCAGAAATGTTTCTTAAAAAAGATTTGGGTTGTAAATCATCATTTTGTCTATTCTCCCAAATTAAATGAATAAACATGGGGTGGGGGTAGAGGAAGTACAAATACCCCTAAATCTTTGTCATTTTCCAAGCATTATCTGATTTTTTTTTCCCACACCAACTTTGAAGTAATGTTATCTATACCTTGGCGATGTGGAATTTGATTTTATAGCCCCCAACATGGTACCTAATGGTTTAAGAGTTTTTATAAGATTTCCCCCAGAAAATACATGTATTTTCGAGAGACAGGGTCTCATTATGTAGCCCAGGCTGGCCTGGAACTTCCAGGGACCCTTCTGCTTCAGCCTCGTAAGTGCTGGGATTAAGTACTGTATTTCCCCTCAGACATTTAAACTGGAATCCTGGGGTTGGGGATTTAGCTCAGTGGTTCCGCTGCCTGCCTTGCAAGCACAAGGATCCGAGTTCAAGACCAGCCCAGGCAACTTAGCCCTTGTCTCAAAATACAATTTTTTTTCAGTACTGGGGATCAATACTCAGTACAGCAAAAAGAAAAAAAAAAAAGGTAAGGTCCAGGGATTTAGCTCAGTGGTTCTGCCGCCTGCCTCGCAAGCCGAAGGACCCGAGTTCAATCCCCAGTACCAAAAAAAAAAGAAAAAGAAAAAAAGGGTCACAGTTTCCTCATCTGTAATTCTTCAGGGTAACTACATAATTGATAAGGTGAAGTTCTGGTTTACAGAAGCCCTGTTAATAAACAGAGACAGAATAACAGAATGAAAAGTGACAATTTGTAACTCCTAACACAAACAGTGATGTAGACATGATGATTAAATCAGTAAGGTGAAGAAAAACATTTTTTTTATCATTATTAAATTTACTGGTACAGTTTAGGTACAGAATACAGTTACACTCACCATTGGGGATCTTGTACCTTTAGATGACTTATATTCGTTCTTATTTTTCCCCATTCCCCAGCCCTCCCTTCACCCTCTCCACCCTTCCCTGGTTACAAAGAGTTTCCATGTTTTCCCTTTTCACATATTTTTTCTTTTCCCTTTTTACCTTTCCCCTATCCCTCCCACTTCCTCTACTCTTTTAGACCTTTTCTTCCTATTACATGATATCAATTATACATTTTGATCCTTATTTTCACTTTTAGTTTTTCACACCAGAGAAACTATTCAGTATTTATATATGTGACATTAATTTCACTTAAGAGTATGGCCTTGATATGCATCCACTTAGCTATAAGTATCTCTAGTACTCCATTTTATTTAAAAAAAAAAAACAAAAAACACACCACATCTTCCTTATCCAGTCTCCAGTTGATGGGAAATTGTGAAGAAAAACTTGTAATGGATGCATCAAGCTCTCTCCACCACAACCAACATCCATGCTAAAAACACAGGGCAGCCATTCACCTGGGCCTCCCAGGGTGCACAGGAAGTGCATAGCCCCACCTAGGAAGGACCTGGGGCCAAGCATGGACTGGAATCCAACTGCACCTTCAGAACCAACCACCAGTATTCAGGAAAGAGAAGATGGAAGAACGGAATGTGGGACACCATGAGAAAGCAGTCTACAAATCAAGAGTCCTCCAGGGACAGGGATTTAGTTCAGCGGTTTGGTGGCCTGCCTTGCAAGCGCAAGGACCCGAGTTCAATCCCCGGTACCCAAAAAAACAAAAAAAAAAAGAAAACCAGCCCAAGGGCTGGGGTCCGGTACCCAAAAAAACAAAAAAAAAAAGAAAACCAGCCCAACAGGGCTGGGAATTTAGCTCAGTGGCACCACGCCTGCCTTGCAAATGCAAGGTCCTGAGTTCAATACCTAGTACAGAAAACAAAGAGCGGCAATTACAAAATAAGAGATGTGAGCAACATAAGGAAATAATGTATGTGGACTTTGTTTGGGTCCCCATGCCAACAAACCAACAATTAAAAAACATTTTTTAAGTAGCCATAGGAAATCTTACCAATTTTG